CGGAGGCGGAGGCAGAGGGGTGCATGCAGCGCCAGGAAGTGGCTGTCTGCGTTGGGAAAACGGTTTGGGCGGCAGCTGCGCGAGGCAGCGGCGGACGCATTACAAGAAACGCGACGAGACATTGCTGCCACCGTTGCACACGGTGCGTAAAACACGTGAGGAGATGCTGCGGTGCGGTGGGGTCGCAAATGCAGTGGAAGAGGAGCTTCCACCATTTCGTGCGGATGATTTTGTGGAATGCGGGTTTTTTTTTAACTTGCTGAGCTCCGAGGCCGCCGCTGCGTCAGGAAGCTCAAAGCAGGTGGCTTACTTTAGTTCGCGGATGCTGCGAAAGAGTGATATCCTTCACACTCCCTTCGCGTTGACGCAGCGGAGCGCGGAATGTTGGGCGGCAATGAGGGCTGTCACTGCCACAGGGGAGACAACAGACGCGGGCTCTGCTGCACGCCCCGCCCCGCCCCACCAGAGGTAGAACCCATCATGGAGGCTACCGACGACGATGGTCTCCCCAGTTCGAGCAGGCCTCTCTTTTGGGAGCATGTGGGAAAGACGCTTGGGGTTGAGGGCGTCGTGAATGTCGGCCCCCTGCTGCCTCTTGCAGTTTGCGCCCTCGTTAAAAGCCAAAACCCTTCATGGGTGGTGGGTGGCAGTGATACGGCAGGCCGTGATGGGGATGGAGCCGGCGTTAACATGGCAGCAAGCAAGGCACCGTCTAGCAACGACACGGGCGACAATGCTGCTGCTGTGGGAGGCGTTGAACGAACCGGTTGAGGGCTGAGAAATCTCCTTCACCGCTTTCAGCGGTGAAGGGCCATTCCACGTTGCTGTTCCTGGGGACTGTTTGGGGCTTGCCTGGGTGAAGCCGCTGGGCAACGCAGGACCGGGAGGATGTACCGCAAAGTGAAATCAGAGAGCTGTGATGGCATGCATGGTCTTTTTTTTTGGCACACTTCTTTGCTGCCTTCAAAAGTTACGGTGAGTGCTGCTGGCGTGTGTGCTTGTCCTTGTCGTGGTGTGTGGCGTGTTTGGTCTCAGAATCGTCCCCTGGGCCCGTGCCATTGACACTGCTGGCTGGCAGTGAGCCCGTGCAGGCGTTTCACGCACTCGATGGGGCGTTTGGTCAAAGAGGTTTGTACAAGTTCTGCGCTCCGTTCTACAGCTCCGTGGACTCGTTTCGTGCGGCAACCAATGCAGACTTACGCGTCTGCATGGCGCAGGGGTATGAAGGGCAGATGAACCTGTTTCCGGACCGTTGTGGCGTGTGTGGAGGCAAAAGCACGTGCGTCGACTGCGCAGGTGTAATTAACGGCACACATGAACCTGTGACCTGCGTTGGCTGCGTGGAATGTGCGTCTGCTGCTGCAGCATGCTCCTGCCAGGTCCTGCGGAACTGTCCATATTGTGAATGAGCAAGAAACGTCGTTGGGGGGAGGTGGGAAAGGCTGTTCTGCGGTCTGCATCAATAATACGTGCGGTGCGTTTGGACGCTGTGGCCCTTTCACTGCCAACTGCACAGATGTATATGCCTTTGCAGGGGAGAACTGTGAGCGGCGCCGCGGAGGATTGCTTCCGCGTGTAGTGAATCCGGAGTGTACCCGCGAGTGTGACGCGGCGCGTGACCCCACTGACTGCGCTTGCAGCACCTCGGCCGCCCGCTGTGCCCGCTGCCCTCCGGGAATGATGGGCGCCCATTGCGACGTGGCCGCATTTCAGTTCAGGCACGGCAGCTATGATCCCACCACGAAGCAACTCAAGTGTGATGAGGGCTTTACGAGAGAGCGGTGTGAGCTGGCCGTTAACTGCTCCTCTCGGGGAGCATGGCTTCCTGCCACGACCTCACCCTTCGGAAGGGGCGGCTGCGGCTGCAGCGGACGCTGGCGAGGCACCTCATGTCAACTGTGTGACGGTCTCAATGGTGATATGTGCCACCCGACCACAGGGAAGTGCATCTGTCGCGGTAGTTTCGAAGGAGAATGTTGCCAGACGTGCGCCTCCAGCTGCGTCGCAAATGGCGTCTGCCCGCAACTGCCTGCTCCGTGCTGGAACATGCGTACATGCATTCCGGCGATCTGTGACGCAGCACACATTGGGGAGGAGGTTTCCCGTCAGGCTTGTAAGTCAACACATAATCTGCCTTTCACATCTTATTGCACGGTTCACGGCGAGCGGTGGTGCAGGAACGACCCCGCGTGCTGGTGGGACAAAACAACACGTAGCTGCGGCCCCGCATGGTCGCATAGCCTCTCTGAGCTCGATGAAGCCTTGCGTTGCACATGTAACTATCCCACCATATGAGCAGGTTCGAGAGGTGAGGTTTGTGTGGGTCCCGCAGGAAGCACCTGCTTGGCAGAGGGGGCAATTGTAGGCTGCAACGGTCCACACTACACAGATCTGTCAGGCGTGGTTGTGAGGGACGCGTGCGGTATATGTGATGGTGATGGGTTTTGCCGTGGGTGTGATGGCATTGCGAACAGCGGGCTTGTGGTTGATTGATGACTGTGGTGTGTGTGGGGGCAACAACGCATGCGCTTCCGAATCTACTGATCCAATTTGTATAAATTTTTACCTTAACCTTTGAAGTCTGCACGACGGACTTTTGGAGCTTGAGTGGTGTAAGGCATTGTCGCAGTTCTGCGCCGAGGTTGCCCGCAGATGGCACGGAAGTGACAAGTGTTATCTTGCGGGATACCTTGCAAGCGTGCGACTCGACCATGTTCCCTCCGTGGAGTCAATGTACACCACACCTTCGCCGCCGCCAAGCAAGGCTTTGGGGAGAGGTGGGATTTACCTTTCAGGGGGGGGGGGTCCAATACACTCGGAGTTTATGATTCTGAGCGCATATGCCAGTACCGAAAGGGCAGCTGAGGACGTGGAGGGTATCTACATGGTTTACAAAGATGTAGAGCGTTTTCTTGCTGCGAGAGTCGGTGGGCTGCAGAAGGTCCATGTAGATGTGTAGGAATCCTCCCGTGCATGGAGCCAAGCCGTTACACATGTGTTTTCAAGGCATGACTTCGTCTCCACGGTGGTCGTTGGCGCTGTTTCCACCACGGTGGTAGTACATACTTGCTTTGCGAGTGTTGATGTGGCGCTTGCGGTGACGCTTTGTGTCGGCTGCGTTCTTTTCGGCACATTGACAGTGTGCGTCAACATCTCATGGCAGCTAGACGTTTTTCTTCTGTCCTGCTTGGCACCCGCCATGCCCATTGCCGCTCAGTGCTTGATGCACCTCGCCGCAGGCTAATTTGACCGCCTACACGCCACCACATTCCCCCTCTTCGCGCGTGGCGTCACAAGCATAGAGGCGCTTTGCGGAGCCGCCACCCGTGCGTTGCCATCTATCTTTATGACCTGCGTGGTATCTATTTGTACCGGGCTGCTCCTGGTGTTTTCGTCACCGCTGCCGTCCGTGCGAAACTGGCAGGTTGCCATCAACGTGCAACTTTTTGGTGCTGTTGGTGGTGGTGCTCTTCGGCAGCGTCCTCTGCGCAATCAGGCCGTTGTGGCACGCTTCCAGTTGGGTCCCCTCAGTGGCGATTGGCAGTCTGTGGCTGCTGACGCTGTGCATCGTGTGGATCCTCACCTCAGTGCAGTGGTGGACACCCCCGGCGCAGCGTGGGGGAGTCACGGAAAACGGCAGGAGAGGCGTGCCCCGAGCCCTCTACGGGGGCGCCCTCTCCGACTTGCCCCTTCCACCTCCGTAGATGTATGCACATATTTTTTGTTTAATTTTTGTCTCTTGCGTCCGCTTGGCCTCTTTTTTTTTTCTTTGATCCACATTTCGTCCTGCCTGCCGCCCAGTGCGTTTATTTGGCTGGTGGAGCTTATCGTTTTTTTTTCCCCTCGACGGAGTTCAGTTTGTTCCACCGTTATTCATGAGGAAACGAGCAAACAAACAGACCAACCCGTGTGCTTCTGCTGCGCGGAGGATCACCAGCGGAATGCGAAGGAGGAACTGCGGCTCCTCAGCGATGTGTTTTCCAGCGCAGTTACGGATTGCTCCCACATGGGTCCTCTTGCTGGTCTTCCTCTCCACGGCGTGCAGGTTGTTTTGACGGCGTTCAAAAAGTTCGGTAGCACGCAGCTGGTGGAGGGCCCGCTGCAGCAGGCGGCGCGCTCGCTTGTGCTGCAGCTGCTTCGCTCTGCTTCCAAAGCTAAGCTCGCCGCGATGGAGCCGATGATGGAGGTGGAGGTGCACCTCTCTGAGGCAGCCTACATTGGCGGGGTTGTGGGCTCCCTGAACGAACGTAAGGCCGTCACGGTGGATGTCCAAGACGGTGGGCGGTCGGTGAAGGCAATCGTTCCGATGCGAAACATTGTGCGCTACACGATGGAGCTTCGGAAGGCCGTGAAGGGGCACGCCAGCCTGTACACACGTCTACATCACTAC